TAGAGAATATTTTTAAATTAAAAATTGGCTCTCTTGTGCATAAAATTCAATATCAAAAAAAGAATATACCTCCAGTCCTCTATGATCTAGCCCAACCGGCTTCAGCTGTCCATAATTACTCTACTAGGTATGCCACTAATCAAAACTGGTACAGACCATTCTCTAGAACCAAATATGCTGTAGCAAGATTTAGTGTGGTGGCATCACAGATCTGGCAAACGATACCTATTAAAATAAAGTGTCTCCCTGCCAAAAGCTTTAAAAAAGAATATAAACTCTTCCTGCTTGGCAGGCAGACATCTTGAACAACTTTAACCTATCATAGAGCTCTATTTTAATATTTTAACTATTTAGTTTATGTGCTATCTCCTTAAGTGTATTTAACTTTTACCCATCTGTAACTGCTCTGTGGTAGTGGCCAACTCGAAAGCTTGGCTCCTTTGGCTACGACACACTCTTTCCACTGCTTTGTGTAGATTCATGTATAGTTAGAACTCTCTTCTTTTTTTTTTTTTCCTACTTTTTCTCTTTCTCGTTGTTGTATTTTTAGTAGAATAAGTGTGAATAAAAGAGTGAATGAATGAATGAATGAATGAGAGCGCGCGGAATAGTCTGGACACGACACCATTCGATTTCCGGTGTTAGCGTTGCCGTTCTCCCAAACAAGTTCAGGACATCACTTCGCTGGTTTTCCCGTCGCGATCAGAACGTCTGAGATTTCCGTCAATTGTGCACTTGTTGGCAATTTATCGTTGGCAAGTGATCCAAGATTTCAGGACTCTGTTTGCTTTTGAATGAGCAAGGCATTAGACAATAAAAGGGCTTTTCTTTAATACATTTCTTTAAGCCTATGTGAAAACTCTAAAAATGGGATGCCGTTGAATTTTATCGAAAATCGATTCATCAATAACCATGCTGCATGTTGAAGTTTGGAGCAGTCAATCAAATGAACTATCACGAAGCTTACATACCGTAAAATTTTTTATTTATTTGTAAACGTAGTCGTTTTTACCGATCATGAATGAATACTTTGTGGATTGAAGTCAGAGATTAACAATTTGAGAATTTTCTCGGGTTTGCACTTTTTTATGTCTTAAAGTTTTTTAATCAGCGCCGATCAAAACAAGAAAGTCGTGCTGACGCAACAAAAGAAAATGACGATCAATTTTATTTCGACACGACTTTCTAAATCAAATAATTTAATTCAGTCGTGAACAACTTCGTCGAAAAGAAACAAAACAAAAAACCGAAATTAAGTCTTACGCTAAGCCTAACGGTTTCACGAGTGACTTGCATTTATTCTTTCCGCGTTAAACAAGAACTCATCATAAACAACTTTGAGTATGATGCACGATCCTCGCAGTAGATAGCGCTATATCCTCGCAGTAAATAGCGCTATCTACTGCGAGGATCGTGCATCATACTCATCTAATAAAGCAGTTCAAAAATATATGAACTCCATATATTTATTCTATCTCATAAACAACTTTGTCGTTGGGTCGCTTGGTTTCTACATGGTTTCGCCATATTCCCGTTCAAAATGCTTTGCACCTCTAAGTATTCAATGTTCAAAAGAGATGTATTGTCATGAATGAATAGAAATATTCAGTGAACAAGGGTAAAAACGATGATGATTTCCAAATTATACTTTGTAAAATTGCGAAGAAAGATGAGCAGTGCTAAAATCTAATGGGACGAAACGAAAAGACAGCAACAAAAATCGCAAAAAAATATCTAATGGGCTCTAAAATTCGATACAGGAATCAACAGACATAAGTCTTACCTGGAATGGATCAATTATAGAGTTTAATCGCCCATGTGGTTCGTATATTATCAACATCTAACTTTCCGCAACTATAATTATCCTCTATTTGCGCTTGTTGCATCACTCTCAAAGAGGATAGTTTCGTTGTCCTTAAAGCTGTTTGTGAAAGCGAAAATTTGTGTTCGCGATCTTTGTAAAGCCGAGTTTAGGCTATTGAAGAACAGATATTGCGATGACGTCTTGAGGCAACGACATCACTTCTGAAAGACACCGCGGAAATACGTTTTTTAA